TAAAACTTCTTTTTTCTTACAAGATAATAAAGCCTTTTTTTCTAACTTCTGCAGGATATACTGTGAAAATGCAGCTTTTAAAGAAGCATTGAAACTGAGGACAGAAGAAGTTAAAACACTTAAAGCTGAAAATGCAAGTAAGCCACTAACAGCTCTTCTTCTTGATGCACTGTTTCCCAGGAGTAATTAATGATTTAGCTATGAAGGAAGCTTCTTGTGGGAAGAAGTGTGTTTTTAGTGGCAGCTGGTGTCAGTGGATATGCAGAATCCCTCTTTAAATTGGAAAGGAAGTAACAGCAGCTGCTGGGTCAGAGGGCTCCAGTCCCTTTCCCTTATTTTTGCCTCCCAAAAACCTTTAAAATAGCTGATTTATATAATTATTTCCCCAATGTTCTAGCAGACCAGCTGGCTGACTTGTGAGTGTACAATGAGATGAGCCCTTAGACCTGAGGCCCAGTAATACATGAAATGGTGTCTAAGTGGGTCATTATTTCTGGGAAAACACAGAGGGAAAAACAACTGGAATATGATTTTGTACATTGTCTCATCAGGTTCCCAAACTGATGCTTGAACTAGAGAATGCTTTGCTTTGGGTGCAGTTAAACTCAGAAATTAAGAAATCAGAGCAGAAGATTTTTCTAATCTCTTTGATTTATTTCGTAGTCCTGAATCAGCAGTGCTTGGAATTCCTTGCAATGCTCGATGTAAAACAACAGAAAGTTGTTCAGGAGAACATGTTGTTGAATAAAAGTGATATTACTGATTTTACAGGTCTTGAAGTAAGTATGGCTTATGTGTTTTTCAAATTGGCTGGTTCAGAGATATGTTTGTATTCAAAACACACAGAGAAAATTTGCTTGCTTGTTAGGTATCTCTTTCTTTGGAGCCATTTTTAGCTAATTAGTACTTAATTACCTAATTTGCATGCCTGTTCATGAGTTTTTTTCTTTGTGGTCTGCCTTGCAAAAAAAGAAGACAGAAGGAGCATTGAGCAGTTTTTCACAAGCTATGATGCTTGTTTTTCTTCTTCCTGACACTTAAACCCAATTCCTCATGCTTTGCTTAGCACAGAAGTGTTCTGGTGAGGCTGTAGGGAGCAGCACACCCAGGCTGTCAGGATTTGTATGGAAAACACTGTGAGCCAGAAGCCATCCTCCAGATCTCCTGCCCCTTTGCTGCCCCTGACTCTCACCCTCCCTGTGCTGCGTTTTTGGGGGTGCAATGGGACACTTGGGTGGTGGTTTTGGTGCTCCTTTTGGTGAGCTGTTTGTGGGGTGTTTTGGGGCTGTTTGTGTGGTGGTCTTGGTGGGATGCTTTCGGTGGTTGTTTGGGTGGTGGTTTTTGGTAGGGTGCTTGTGTAGTGGTTTTGGTGGTGGTTTAGGTGGTGTTTTCTGTTGTGGTTTGGGTGGTGTTTTCTGTGGTGGTTTTGGTGGGGTGTTTGTGTGGTGTTTTTGGTGCTGGTTTGGGTGGCAGTTTGGGTGGTGTTTTGGGTGCTGGTTTGTGTGGTGGTTTTGGTGGGATGTTTGTGTGGTGTTTTCGGTGCTGGTTTGGGTGGGATGTCTAACGGGTGGCTTGTTTTGGGTTTCCAGCTGGCGGTGCTCGGGGCCTGCACCTGTAGCAGCTCCGAGGGGCAGCCCTGCCCCTGTGCCAAGGTGGCAGCTCTCACTCGGAAGCAGCTCCTTCATCTCAAGCGAGAGGTAACGAGGCTTGGCGGGGGGGACAGGGGTCAGGGTGCTCAAAACCCAGCAAACTCATGTGTTTTAAAGCCAGAAGGGCTTTACGCTATTTACAAATAGTGTAAAGTTTGTTTGTGGTGCTTGTAATGCCCTGGCTTTTGCCGGTAGAAACATTGTAATTATGTCTATTTGGCTTTACTAGTAGGAAAAACAACAACAACAACAAAAATATCTTTTTGCATTCTTTTTCCTTCCTCTCATATTTTTTATAAAAGGAAAACACACCCTAAGTGTATACACTCCATAAATGTACACACTGTGGGTGTGTACTGCCACTGACCCTCCTCCTTCCTTCCTGACGTGCATTCCACCCCTCCCTTGGGTTGGCATCAGCACCCACAGCTATGTCAGGAAGATGATCTTGCTGGAAAGTATATATTTACCTCAGGCTTAAATCAATAATGTGACTTTCAAGCACTTAATTTTTTTTTAAATTTAGTGAAATTCTGTGAATTCAGAATTTTTATTTTAATTTGTCTTTGATTCTGCAAATGTGGAAACTGTTCTTGTGGTCCTGCTGCAGAAGTTCCAGTTGACTTATTGGTTTTGAAAATAAGGACTGTCCTGTCCCTTTTGTACCAAAGTTATTATCCTTGACATAAGTTTCATTCTCTTTGTTCTTTTTGCTCCTGGCCCAGCTGGCACAGGATGTTATTGCCCCCCTCAATCTCTTTTGCTCGTGCAGAGATGAACAGAGGTAAATACACAGAGATGATTGTCAGCGTAGATGGCAGCTGGTTTGTGCATATGTATAGAAAGGACTTAAAACACATCTCAAAATATGTCAGGAAAACTTTTCATTTGGTTCCTGCTACTTTCTTGATTATATTTATTTACAAGTTGTCTGCGTCTTGATATATACTTTATATTTGCTTTTGCTTCCAAGTTGCTTAAAGTACTTTAAATTTTCCCTGGATTAAACCCAGACTGAAAATCTGAAGAAGAGTAAGGATGAAGCGTTTCTTGTGGCAGATGCCTTCAGAATTGCCTTTGAGCAGCAGCTGATGCAGAGGAAGGACCAAGCCCTGAGACTTGCAGAAGGGATAAAGATGAAGAAGGAAACTAAATTTGCAAACTGGAGGCGTCTGAGGGGCACTGGTACCTGGGCCAGCCGAGGGTCTGGGGGGTTGGCTGCAAAAGGAGGGAGCTCGTGGCTTGAGCACCTTCTTACCCTGTGAGATGTGTGGCTGTGGCTCAGCTGCTGGTGGGGGCTTATGAAGAGTCAAGAAAAAACAAAGTTGTGAATACTCACTGTGATATTAAATAGTGTGTTTTGTAATTGAGGAATTTCTGCCGTGAGTTTCACGTGTGAAATGCAGGGTGTGCGTGTGTGTAAGTGGAATATACAGGTTGTGTAGGACACTGGAGCTCCCAGTCCAGGCCTTTACTGCACCCTTTTTAAAATTACACATGTATGAACTCCACTATCTGACTGAAAACATGGTGGAATAAATAAGCTGTTACACAAGATGACAATAATATCTGGCTGGTAAAGATGCTTGTTATAAAAACAGCAGAGAAAAGCCAGGTGGAAGGGTGTGGGACTAGATGAACTTTAAGGTTTCTATGGGGTTTTTTGGTTGGGGTTTTTTTGTTGCTGTTGGTGGTGGTTTGTTTGTTATTGTTTTTTTGGTTTTTTAAAATCAATTTAGCTTTTTATTTTGCTTTTGATTATTATTCTTATACTTAATCTGTTACAGAGTTACAAAACCCTCTGTAAAAGAGGAAGAATTCGAATCTGTAAAATAGAACGAATTCTACTAATCCTTTTATTCTTTAAAAAAAGGAATAAAGAGAAGTATTTCAGTTCTTATGTCCTGGTCAAAACCATTGCAGAATTTAGGAATGCGACATCCGAATATATCTGTGTTGGTAATTGACCTGGAGCTGCCAGGATTAGAAGTTTGGTTGGTCTCCCAAATTCCTTTAGCACTCTTGGGGTGTGGTACTACAAGAGCAAACACTCTGACTTCCCCTACAGCAACATCATCGCTTTCAAGCTCTGTAGTCTGGTGCATACGACCTATAATTTTAATGTATTTTAATATTTTTAGAAATCTTGCAAATGGCCTGTGTCAGAGAATCTTTGTTTTTTTCAGGCTACTTACTGTTTAAAAACTAATTACCATGAATTCCACAGCTCATGTACTTTTGTTTTCCTTAGAGCGTCTCAAGTTACAAAGCAACAAGAACAATCTGGGTCAAAAGCTGTCCAGCCTGCTCTCCTCAGGTGGGGACTGCAGGAGGGTCGAGGAGCTGGACAACCCCAACGAGATCTTGAAGATGCTGATAGATTTGGTCAGTATTTTGTTCACCATGACCCCCAGGGGGAGCACATGCACAGTTTACAAACAGCGCCGTGTTCTGAGCTGACCAACGTCTTTCTCTCCTTTCTGTGTTAAACACCCCCAGGTGAACGACAAGGAGGAGGCCCTGGCCCACCAGAGGAAGGTCAGCTACATGTTGGCCCGTGCCCTGGAGGCGAAGGAGGCTGTTTTGGGATGGGGTGAAGGGAAGGGGTTGTTGGGCCTCGCTCACGCCTGTGGCCACAGCCCCCCTGCCTGGAACAGCATCCCCTCAGCTACCAGCACGGACACCCACGGACATCCTGCAAAACCCCTGCAGAAGTCGCTGTCCTGGCCCTTAGGCAGGGCAGGGGGGCCCCTCTGTAGCCTCATGCGGGACCCGTTGGGTTTGTGAAAAAGAAACACTTTGTGGAAGCGCCAGAAGCTGCCCCGTGATTGTGTCAGTGTGAGGGTGCGATGGCTGAGGCCATGAGGGCCCGGAGACCATCGCAGTGCTGAGAGGGGCTGACAGGGGCCAATGTAATGGTGATTGAAAACTAGACAGAGTGTTTTTCGGCTGCCTAAGCCCTTCCCTGGCCCCACATTACCTGGTGACAGCACGAGAGAGGTGTCACCATGGGGGGGGAGGGGATGTGGTGTCATGAGAACCAGTGGGGCTGACAGAGCAAGAGGGACATTTTTGGGAGCTCTCTGAACTCACAGAGTCAGGTTTAGAGAGGAGACGTTGTTTATTCTGCGGGGGGTGGAAGGTGGACACTTCCACAAATCCAGCACACCAACTGTCTAAAGCTGTCACTGTTTATACACTTCAGCAAACAAAGATGTTAATGTACATTGGCTACAAGTCACATAGTTCTGTTGTTAATTACAGAATCACAGGATCAGTTTGATTGGAAAAGACCTCTAAGGTCACTGAGTCCAACCTATGACCCAACACCACCTTGTCAACAGACCATGGCACTGAGTCTGCATCCAGCCTCTTCTTAAACACCTCCAGGGATGGTGACTCTACCACCTCTCTGGGCAGCCCATTCCAATGTCTAATCACTCTCTCTTTATACTTTATATTCCATTGTTTAATGACTCTCTTACTTCTCATGCTAATTGATCCCACGCTCAGTCTTTCTCTTCTTCCTTTGGGTTGGGGGGTTTCTGGGGTCAGTGCTCACGATCTACCCCTGTTGGAATCAGCCTGTATCCAGTGGGAGCTGATCCAGCCCAGGTCCTGAGCTGCCTTTACTAGTGCCTTCCTCATCTTGGGAGTTCTGCCAGATGTCCGTGTGGGCCATAAATTCTGCATTCCCTGTGCTCACTGCCAGTGGAAATCCTTCCACCCAAGGTGTGATACCCTCCCCCAGGGCTGAGGTCATTGAGACACATCCAGCCCTAAACCTTAACAGGGCCAACAAGTTTCATGGCCTCTCTTGCTTCTTGGGCTTGAAAGTTAAAAAGATCAACCACAGAACATCCTTTCTTAGGAAAACTTTGACACAGTCCACGTTTTGCAGCAATCAGACAGGATCTGGCCCGTCACCCCCATCTTGTTCCTCATAACCCTGTGGGCAAATTGTTAATAGTTTCTGACTCTGTGACATCACATCACGTCACCGAGGGGTGAGGGTGGAGCGGGAGTGACGTCACTGCGCGGAAAGGCTGTGTGACGTCACGGATCGCGGGCTGCTGGCGGGGGCAAGAGCGCGAGCCGGCCCCGCCCCCCGCGCTGTCAGTCACCCCGCCGGCCCCGCCCCCCGCGCTGTCAGTCAAACAGCCGGCCCCGCCCCGCGCCATCAGTGGCCCCGCCCCGCGCTGTCAGTCACCCCGCAGGCCCCGCCCGCAGGCCCCGCTCGTTTCCGAATGCGAGAAATACGAACATGTGGAAGAAAGCCGAGACAAAGAATTGTGCTGTTTTTTAAAAAAATAATTCCGAATGCAATCACCTTGATTTTGAAATGAAATTACCTGTTATGATTTTCTCAGTCCGGTTCTGAGACCTTGGTTCCCAGATTCATTGCTGAAGGGCAGTTAAGAAAGGGGTAGATGATTCTGTCACACTTTCGTGCTAAGCTACTTTACGTTCAGTGTCAGTCGGTGCCTTCTCAGACAGGTGTGTGTGCTACTGATATACTGCGATGGTGCTCGCTGGCCTAAAAGAGACAGTGTTACACAAATCCTTCTGTCAGACTCTTCAGCTTCTGTCCTCACCACCTCAGCATAATGTTTCTTGCGGGTTCTGAATCAAATTATGTAGGGAGCTAAAGTCATACAACTGCATATATGAGCCCTTTATCATATTTATTTTTGGTATTGTCTGGAAAAAGTGCACAGACTGCAGCAAAAGATTTCAGTGTGTTCCTGTAGCTTCTTCTGGATGTGACAGACATCCATAAGGCAGCTGGTGCCTCTGATGTGCAGAAGGGTGAAGGCTGCCAGCAGAGCTGAGGGGCCAGCAGCCGTGTCTTGGATACCCTCTGCAGTCAGGTGGCCCCAGAGGCTGACAGCTGGCTCTAAAAACTGGACTTTGTCAGTTTTCTACATTTTCTTGTTTAGAAAAGGGAGGATATGTACTGCACGGTCAAGACAACTCCAGGTAATGAGTGAAACTTATTTTGTCACTGAGCAACACATATAGTTCAGCAATGCAGCTGTACTTCTTTCTGACATACATGGGGCTGGAGGTGTTACAGCACCACAGGCCATTCCCTGCAGCCATTCTCCTCCAGTGGTGTGTCAGAAGCTTTTCAGCCCATCTGTCAGATTACAAAATATTCTCTAGACCCTCATTTGCTTATATTTAGGTCTACCCTGTAGCATTTCTTGTGTTCTTAAACCTTTTCTTTCAGTTTGCTAGTGGCAAACTATTTCATACTATTAAATCATAGGCCTGCAGCAAAGTGTTACATTATGCATATGTCTACTTACATTTGGAGATGAGTGAATAGAAGTTTTTAATGATGATTCACTCCACTCAGCTTCCCTTTGGTGTATGAGCTGTAAGGGTTCACAATGAGATCTCTCCACCGACCATAATGAAACTCAGTCTCCAGGGCAATAAGTAGTTTTCTTGTGTTGGTTGAGAAAGGTTTCCTGAAAGCAAGATGTTTCAGTTTCTTTATCCAATATTTCAATGACTGCACTAAGATTTGATGAAGCCAAACTGGTATCAAAGAATGAGGCTGAATTAAGACAACCATTGGTGTGCCCTAGTGTCCAGGAAGGCCAATGGTGTGCATTAGGAGGAGCACTGCCAGCAGATCACAGGTGACCCTGCCCCTCACTCAGCCCTGGTGAGGTCTCACCTGGAGAGCAGTGCCCAGTTCTGCTCAGGACTAAGAGACACTGAGCTCCTGAAACAGGTCCAGCAGAGGGCTACAAAGGTGGTCTGGAGAATCTGACGAAAAAAGGCTGAGTGACCTCTGGAGATCATCTAGCCCCATGCCAAGGCAGGGTCATGTAGAGCAGGTTATACAAGAATGTGTCCAGGTGGGTTTTGAATGTCTCCGGAAAGGGAGAATCCACGACCTCCCTGGGCAGCCTGTTCCAGGGCTCTGCCATCCTCAGTGGAAAGAGGTTCTTCCTCATACTGAGGTGGAAGTTCTTACATTTTACTTTATGGCCACTGCTCCTCGTCCTGTTACTGGACACCACTGAAAAGAGTTTGTCACCTTCCCCCTGACACCTGCCTTTGAGGTATTTGTACATGTTGCTGAGATTCCCTCTCAGTCTTCTCCTCTCCAGACCAAACAGACCCAGGTCCTGCAGTCTCTCCTCATTAGAGAGATGCTCCAGACTCCAAATCATCTTTGTTGCCCTGCCCTGGACCCTCTCCAGTAGCTCCTTGTGCTGAGGAGCCCAGAACTGGACACAGCATTCCAGATGTGGCCTTGCTAGGGCCAAGCAGAAAGGCAGGATCACCTCCCTCGACCTGCAGATGACCTGCTGACTCGCTCCCGATGCACCCCAGGACACCACTGGCCCTCCTGGCCGCCAGGCCACACCGCTGGCTCAGTCTCTGACAGTTTGTCCTCCGCCGAATCAGCCCATGGCTGGCCAGGTCAGGCCAAGCCTGCGGGCAAGAACCGCGCTGTCCCCGCTTACCCGGGGAAGGAGCGGGGCTGGGGAAGGAAGGAGCGGGGCTGGGGAAGGAAGGAGCAGGCGAGCGTACGCAGCGGGCGCGGCCGCGCCGAGGCGGGGCGGGGCCGGGCCGGGCCGGGGCGGGGCGGTTTGAGCTCATCCGAGGGCGCCGCGCGGGCCCGGGCGGCGGGCGGAGCGCAGGTAACGCGGCTGCGGCTCCGGCTCCGCGTGTCCCCGGGCGGGCAGCGGCCCCCGCTCCGAGCGTTCCCTCCTTGCCTTTGCCACCCCACCCCCCCCGGCTCCATCCCTGCCCGGGCCGGGCCCGCTCCGGGCCGGCGGGGCCGAGGTGGGATCCTCGTCCCGCAGCGGTCCCGCCAGGCCGCGGCTGGGGAGGCGCTCCGGGAGGGACGAGCTGCCGTCGCTGCCTTCGCTCATGAACTGAAGGGCTGCCCTGGAGCGCGGGGAGCAGCGCAGGGCTCAGAATGCAGCGCAGGGGGATGCGCAGCAGTACCTGCCGCCTTTTGTCGCACCGCTTGAATCAGTGCCCCTGTTCTGGGCCTCTGGTTTCCTGAAAGAGCTTTAAACATCGACCCACTCAAAGCTGGTTATTGAGCTGTCCCACCCGTTGGCCTTTTTAACACTAGAAACATGTAGGTGAAACTCGTATTTTAATAAGTGGTAGTATGTAATTCATCTTAGGATTTCGGCCTAGTTGTGTGTTAGTTCCTTTGCTGAGTTTAATGCTTAGTTTTGCAGAGGTCAGGTTGAGTGTCTGAGGTGGCTGGCCATTGTCAGCATTGGGAAGAGAAGAGTCTTTTTCTCATTTCAGCCTTAAGAAAGTGGTTCTTTGGCATGGTAGGTGGTATTCATATACCAACTGCTGCACTGAGTTAAAAACAGCTCTATTTCAGTACCGATTTTATTTGGATGCTTCCTTTATACCAATATCATGTGACAGGCATGCTCCATCTCCTGAAGGTCAGTTGCATGTGCCCCTTCCTTGTGTATTTTGAGTGGAAATAATTCTGCTCCTCTTTAATGCTGTTCAGCATCTCCACAGAATCGGTGAAGTTGGAGGGGACTGCTGCAGACCATCAGTCAACTGCTGCAGCTCAAGCAGGGTTAGGTATACCAGATTATCACATCCACCTTGAAATAATTCTGTAAAATAAAACATGAAAAATTCCATCCTTACATAAGTGTTTGGGATCTTATTTATAAACATAGTAATGTAGATTTGTGGGTAGGGACTTTTAAAACAAGTATTTGGTCTCTGTTTAATTGTTTTAGGTATTCAGTCACTAGTGTAATACAAATAATTGCCAGTGGACTAAAGAGAAGTTAAGGGGAATATCGGGATGCTCTTCTTAGCTTCTTTACCAATAGTAAGATATGCTTCTCTTTCAGTCTTTTGTTGCTTTTCTCAAGGAATTAGTATTTGGGGGGCGGATGGAGACTTTGATTTTTTGGTGTTTCCCCTCTTATTTCAGCTGAAAGAAGGAGTTTTCTATCTTGACTTGTAATTTCAGCTCATCAGAATTAACCTCCTGCTGTAACTTGTAGTTAGCAAAGGTCTTGCATTATGCTCATTATTTCTCTAGTTTTCATACTTAAAAGAAGATTTCTGGAATGGCACCAATTATTATATCCAGGGACATTAGTAATTGAATTCATTTCCGCATCCAAGCTCATTACAAAATGTGGTGGTTTTCTTGTGACGCAGAGTGAGGTCTGCAAGCTCTCTTCTCTGGATTGTTTTGTAGCAGTTTAACAGTAGCAAATGTTCCTATTAGCTTGTTTAAACCTTACTTTCATCTATAGAAGAACTCATTCTTGCCTTGAAAAGGCTTAAGATGTCTTACCTATTTGTGTTATGTGTCGGGGGAAAAAAAAGTTTGTAATTACCAAAAAAATGGATACATATTACTTGATATTTAAACAGTAAAATTATTGTTGATGCTGATGTTCAAAACTGACTTCTGGGTACGATCTTAATGTCTTACACTGTGTGAAAAATTTCTAAATCTTGGATTTGGGAGAAGCTGCCATGAAATCAGTTTAAAGAGAATTAGTTATAAACTGCTTATAATTATGAAAGACAAGGTTTATCCAAAAGGCTCTTTTTTTTTTTAATTTTTAAATTTCTTTAAATGCTAAGTAGAGAGCGTTATAGGTTATAATTCTAATACCTGCATGTTGAAAGGAATTGAATTAGCTTTTATGTACAGATGAAGCAAATGCTTAGCTGAAGGTGAAGAGAGGCCAAACATGGCTTTGTTTTGCTGATATAAAAAGCTGTTGTTTAAATGTGTGTCATCTGGATATTGGCCAGTGGAATGTAGGAAAAGTCTGTGGTGCAGAAGTTCGTCTACACCTTTTGAGGAATACAGTGAGTACATAATATAAACCAGCTGGTCTCTGTGCTCCAGAGGTCCCTGTTTGCAGATCAGGATATTCCCTTAAATCACCGCTTGGGTGCACATGCCAGGCTTGTGTGCATGGAAATAGTTCCCTACTGACAGTTGTTCCAAGTGGGTGATTCTGGCAGAATGAGCTGCTGGGAGAAATATCTTCAAACAGACTTAGCGTAAATTGGTAGGGTTCATCTGACCATCTTTAGTTTTCTAGGAAACTGGATTTGCATAAATTTCTGTTGAGTTGCTTTAGTTGGCTGTTATTTCAGGGAATGTGTTTGTGTACTGTCTGAAAAACAGAAGAGATGAGATGGAAATGAGCACTGTCTTGGGGCTTACTCTCTGCTACTTGTGTCAGCATTTGTGTTTGAGTAAGTTTCTGCAACTCTGATTTTCCACGATGAAAAATAGTCGAAATGGTTTCTAAGGCATTAACCAGTTAATGTATTCAAATTATTTGGAACTACTTTCAAGTAGTTCCCAGCTTAAGAGAATTTTCTGGGTCTTGGCAGATGTCAAATACAGAGTTGTAACTGCTTGGTTTGGTTGGAGATCAGTCTCTTGATCTTCTCTCATACAGCCCTTTCATTTCTGTTTTTTAAGATTTTGGAACTGCATGAAAAGAAACAGCTCTGAAATAAGAGGTGTTTTGTGTATGCGTTGTATTTGGCACATGTTTGCATGACAAGAGGTAGGACTGTCTTGACTGCTGCATTTTGCACGTGCCTTTCACATTCGTGTAAGAGGTGAGGGGTGTTTTTTTTGTGGGTTTCTTTTTTTTTTTGTTTTGGTGGGGGTTTTTTTGTTTGTTTGGTTTGGTTTTTGGTTTTTTTTTTGTTTGCTTTGTTTGTTTGTTTGTTTTAAGTTCCTAAGCCTTTCATTTGCTTCCATTTAGCAGTGCCTCTGCTGAACCTTCCAACAAGTTCAGATGGTTTTCTGATTTTCTCATCTGGATTATTACTGTTGGAGTGAAGTTAAACTGGAGTAATTAGCTGTTAGCAATTGCAAGTATCAGCCTCCTAGAATAATGGAATTTCAGTGTCAAGTACCATAATTGATGATTCTAGTTTTTAATGGGCTATTTGCAAGTTTAACTAGACTACTTTTTGTAACAGTTATTCTCCATTTTCTTGTTCACCATTTGAAATGGTGATATTCTGGGTAATTCAGGTGCCCCTGAGTTTTTTTCCTCCACCTTCCCCAGTAGGATGGAATTATATTTCCAAGTTCTTCCCTTCCCCTTTCTCTTTATTACATTTTCCTTTTAAGTGTAACAATCAAGACTATGAGTTACTGTGTTACAAAGAAACTTTTTTTTTTTTTGCTATAGGTATTTTTAGAAAGTTTAATCTTGTCTACTTTGCAACCATATTTTATTTTGCCTGGAAGCTTTTTTCTTGTATTTGAACCTATGGTTCTAATTCACATTGCTGCTTTTTGTATTAAGTGGAAAAACAATGTTATACAAATATCATTCCAGGAAGGACCATTTCTCCCCTGTTTCCCATTCTTTGTGCCTTTTATGCAACTCTGTTATGTGCAGGTGATCAAGAGTGACTCTATTCATGTTGGCTACCATCTGCTGTTGTGGTTGTTTTTGAACATCTTGTCTTCTAAAATATTAAAACATGTAACCAAATAATTAGCTTGCCTTATAATTCTATGACTTACAAAGTACATTTGATAAGGAAAGAGCATTGAATGTGAGGTCTATTTTTAAAGTATACTAGTTATTTGTTACATCTCTGTGTTGAAGAAGTGTCACACAAAACAGTGTTTGTAAAATGATCATCGGAAGTTTGTAGTAGAATTACAATTCCTGGTTATTTTTTATGCTTAGAGTCCAGTTAGTGAACCACCTTTTCTAAAGTTGAAATGCATTACTTTCACAAAAATGAAAACCAGATACTCATATTATGAGCATAACATAGCAAAGAATCTTGCATAAGACAATGTTGAATAAGAGAAGTATCTAAAAAAAAAGACTGCATGACTTTTGGACAGTGGTCATAGCAAAACAAAGAATACATGACAGTTTAACTTCTGTGATGAACTTCTGCTTCTTGTTGCAACAAATGTTGATGCATTTTCATATTTTCATGCTTTTATAGGTATTTACATGTTTTCCAGTGAGAAGACCTTTTGTTTTGCTGTAAAGCACTTTTGTCCGGAGTGTTGTGAGTTTCCAGCTATTAAGGTGTAATTATATACCTTAAGTATTTACTTATAGTTTTTAAAAATCTTCATGAACAATCTCAAAGGAATACTTGGAATGCACTCTAGTAAATTGGCTCATGTTCTTTTTGTTTACCAGAAGTGCTGATATGAGAGTGGTTGTAATGTGGAAAGTATATTAATCTGTGGAGATGCATTGTATATATGAAATTATTACTCTAAAACTTTAAAATATGAGGTAAATTATACTTACTCTCATTATTTAAAACCACAGTAGAAATATATCACTATCTCTTGATACATTTGAAATAAATAAAACTTCAAACAGCGCAGTAATAAATAAAGTTAGATGTTTCGTAACCATGTATCTTTTCTAAAGGATTAGTGAAGAGAGTCAACAGCAGCTGACTATAGTAAGGGTTGTTTCTGTCAGTTTATAAAAGCTGTCTAGAAATATTTTCACTAGAGTTCTTATCTGAAAAATACAGCCAAGTGGTTCTTGACAGCAAATCTTGAAGCAACTAGCTTGATGCCATCCTAGATGGGTGCCGTTCTGTGGAGTTAGAATTACCCTTTGGCTGTATGATTTTTAATAAAGGGAACTGGACTTTAAATAGCTTTTAGAATTAGTGCATTTCAGAAATGGTTGTGAAATGATTTTTTTTTTTTTTTTTTTTTTTTTTTTTAGAATGTGAGAAGTGGAGAAACTACAATTAATTTCAATACTCTAGTATTATTCAAAATTATTTTTGGCACTGGGAAGCTGAATATTCTTCTCTTTCTGGAGTCATCCTATGTAAGAATTGTCTAAGGCTTTGTAAAACTGTTGCCCAATAGACTGGAACATGGATCCACAGCTAGACCCCATGAAGGATGACTTGCCTTTAATGGCAAACACCAGCTACATGCTTGTAAAGCACTACGTGTTGGACTTGGATGTGGATTTTAAAAGTAAAGTTATTGAAGGCAGCATAGTTTTGTTCTTTGAGACTGGGAGCCAGCACAGGAAAACCAGCAGTACTGGCAGAGAATGCTGCCAGTCAAAGTTTGATCAGTCCCATAAAATGAGGGCATCTGAACCCTGCCATGTTCCTGTGACAAATGTGAGTGCCTGTTCATCTAAAATGGAATATAATGGTTTTGCTGTCAGTGGTGAAGGTGAAGAAGATACTTCTGATGAAAATGGTAACCATAGCAACAGTGAACAGACTTCTGGGATTTCCAGTTCAGAGGACTGCTGTGACAGAGAGAATCATGGGAACCAGGATTTTGTGCTGGTATTGGACTGCTGTGATTTATCTGTGCTAAAGGTTGAAGAGGTAGATGTTGCTGCTGTGTCAGGCATTGAACAATTTACAAGGCCTGCCAAGCTAACTGACGTTTCAAAGGAGCTGGGAAATCTCAGGAATCACATTGTCCATGAACTCGTGGCTCTACCTGCAAAGCGCTGGGAGGAACAGCTGTGCTGTTTTACTCACTGCAGCCAGGCACCTGGCTGTGGAGAGCTTCCCTTTGCTACTGGCCCTTGGAGCTTGGAGATCAGGAAACCAGGAATTGGTACTCCAGCAGACTTCCCTCACGCTATAAGAATATGGTACAAAACCAACCCGGGTGGAAGATCCGTGGCATGGACCACAGACCAGAGTGGCAGGTATGTAACTGTTTGCTGAAAGCTTTGTGTGCAATAATTTTAAATAGCTGCAAGAATGTAGCAAAATCGTGTAGTTGCTGAGCAGCTGTGAAGATAATGAGTACACTCTTCCAGAGTTTTCATTTCAGCCTTGGTTTGAATCCTTTTGCTGTCCTCCAGGAGAACAGACAAACTCCCTGCTCATGAAACTCCAGTGGACTCGAAGACCTCAGGCCTGTCTAAGTGATTGTGTCTTTTCATTCTGAGCAGGAATAAATAATTTGTGTGTATGTCAATAAGTGTGTGCAGGGAATAGGCAATTATCATTTAGGGGAAGAAAAGGTGTGAATGACAGGTTATTTGTACTGTAATACTTCGTGCTCTTTTTCCTTCCTGGCTTACACAACTGATTGTACAGCATGAAGATCAATACACGTAACATTTAACAGCCTTACTTCACAGCTGGTCCTTTATCAATATTGTAATCAGCTTAGAAATGCAGTCCTTTCCTGTTTATTCTCATAATCAACTTTTGAAATTTCCTTCATCTTTTGTGTTCAGCACATTGATGGTAGCAAATGAACTGCAAACTGAAACAAGAGGAAGAATTGGCATTATATCTAGTGGTTGTGAAAATATATGGTACTGTACAGAAATCTTTAATATAAGCTCTTTATAGGAGGGAATAGCAAATAGTTTCAAGTTGATTTATTTTCAGGCTTGTGTAGGATATTCCAAAAACTAATGTCTGTCAGAAAATCAATTTTCACACCAGACCTTCTTGCTACATTTTTAAAAGAAAGTTTCATGTGATGAGCCCATAAATATAGTGATAAAGGTCATTGTACAAAATGCTGTCAATATTTTCTGCCTCTTCTAAAATTAAAGCCCATTTATAATGTATAAAGTATTATTACATTATATTCTCAGAAGAGAATTCCTTAAATTGTTCTAAATTATGCATATGGTGCTTTTTTAAGCAGATGACAAATCCTTTGCCAAAGGAGTCTATACTGTGGTTCCAACCCTGAAGAAAAGTAAATAGCAAAGTACAAACATTGCGTTGACTGCTCCAATGTTTTCTTCTAATTTAACACTAGTACAATGTTTTGAAATTTAGCCTATGCACAACTTTATCAAGACTTCAATTTTATTTGTTTTAAACAATGATGTATTACAATACACAAAAAAAATCAATTGAAACAAAGCATTTGGGGGATGAGTTTAGGCAAGTTAAGTGTATACAAACATGTTATCACAGCAGGGCACACTTCTGTTTTTAGTAGAGAAATTGAACACGTGGAATTTCAGCATTTCTCTGTTTGGACTCTTGGGGCCAAACAAAAACGTCAACCACAGAAGTGACTTGTATTAATGAAAAGAGAGAAGGAGGGAAAGCTCTAAAGCAATGACCGGGAAGCCTTCCAGAGTACATTTGTTAAAAGAGACACTCCTGACCCCTCTGAACTGATGCTGTTCCTTCCACACTGCTGTGATGACACAGGTGTGTGCTCAGCTGGCTGATAAGGCATATTAGGTAGGTAATCTAACTGAAAATAAGGGTGGGGGGCAGAGAATGGAAGAGAATAAGTTTTGTTTGGAATATACTACTGAGGTTGGTTTGGAAGGTAGCATTATCTACTACAAATTAGAAAATGTGTCATGAAAATAGATGTTTATTTTTCAGTGGCATGAATTAGCATCATTCTGTGCTGTTGCATGGTGGAAATGCAGGAAGGGAATAAAGAGCTTGTTTTTCTTCATGGGCAAGGTTTGGTAGAATAAGATACTCCAGAACCCTGGCAAGTCACAGACCAAATCCTAAGAGGCTGCCCTCAGCTGCGGGGAATTCTCTACTGGTATTTTGTATAATTTTGTTCCCAGTGGATATTTGTATTTGAGTAATTAATGAAGCTGTGTGAAGTTTGTTGGATTACTCATGTCATATGCAATGATTCCTAAAGAACAACAAATGGTGTCATGAATACAATGGAGAAGTAAAACAAAAATAATAATAATTTTAAAAGTATAGGCAGACCTTGAGTACGAAATGAACAGATTTGATATTCCTGAAAATGTGAATGGCATCAAACAAATATTTCTAAAAAATTTGAATTAGGTCCTCTGAGTTAGTTGTCCTAACTAAGAGGAATACCATGAAAAAACACATGGGTAATTATTGACTGGTGTTTTTTCCAAAAACAGAACATCAACTGAATGTTTATCATTAGCTTTAAGGCAGTAGCTTGGTTTGTCATTATAATTGATAGGCTTACATGGGAAACAGAGATCTGCCAGGAACTGGTTTGAACTGGTCTTGTTATGTTATGAAAATATGTGGACGACTGATGACTTAGGATTGCATGAATCAAATTTTCCTTGGAGAGATTACTGAGCAACAGACAGTCCCAAGTCTGCTCTTGGAGCAAAACCGAACAATACCACAACTAGTACTTGATCTCTCCAGTAGCCTGGATGGCTGTTCACTGGGAATTACTAGTCATAAAGTTGTCCAGATGAGTGACTGGAGATATGTTTTGCAGGCACTTGTTTTTCCAATGTAACAAGTAAATAGACAAACAGTCTGAGTTCTCTGCTTATCTTTCTTCTGCTGCATGCAATTTCCTTATCTATTCCAACCTATCTTGGCAAAGATTGTGGGTGGCCTAAATATTATGTAAGTAGATGATCTGAATGTTACAAGACCATTAAAAGTGAAAGACCAGAGTTGGAGAGGGTAGATAATAGGAAAGTTCAAGAAAGGAATTGAGAAGTTTCTTGCTAGCAGGGGTAGAGATAAAGCAGGGAAAAAAAAAAAGGCAAATATTGTATCAATTGACAAAAGCAGTCTAAAATTCTTTGTCATTCTTTGATGTACCTAGGTTAGCTAGTAATTTTTCTGCATCAAGTGAAGAATCTGATCCATATCAGGATAAGAATTATATTTCTGGTCGCTTTACATGCCGGAACTGTGCTACCTGACCCAGATCAAAGCAAATTATCAGTTGCAGTGAGTGTCCTAAAGTAACACTACACTATTACCAATATTGTAAAAAGAAATTAGTACTGTAAATGAAGTATAATACCTGATTAAAAGCCGATATAATTGTTGTTCTGATAGTTTTCTCTTGATGTGTAGAACTTGCCTTTCATTGCTTTAGCAGGCTGATATAATATGGTCTGAAGGCAAAAAGTGCTCTCTGAGAGCCAGGTAGCATTAATGGTCCTGGTAATGTCTGTTCTATGAAATGTTTATACTGTGTTTGACACTGCATTACAACATTTCGTTTATCACAGCTCTGCCAGCCAGTTTTCTCAGTCGTTGTGGAATTTACCTCTAACATTTCTTTGGAATATGAAAATCCTTTGTTGCTCTTAAGACTGGGGTGTACTGATGGCACCCAGCAAAACAGCCTTCAAAAGGCATGCAAATCATTGGTCAAATATATATAGCAGCAGTCACTAACCCCGCCTTTCCTCTCACTCCTGTGAACTCTGCTAAGATCTCTTTTTACAACCCTCTGTATTTTGGTAAAGTTTTCATGAACGAGGAACCATCTTTTCATCTTCATCCCTCCCAGCACACATGTGTTTTAGGGTAAATCATAAGTCCAGTATCTCTTGGCTGGCCTTACTAGGAGGAAGCAGATCCTCCTGGAAGGTAAAAAAGCAAGCTCTTCCCTTTTCTTGTGAATTCACTTCTATGCACTGTTTATTTTTGTGGGAGAAACCCAATTCTTTTAGGTATATCAGAGTTGGTTACAGATTCCATTTTAGGAGTTTAATTCCAAATAAATTAAGTTAATTAAAAACTTTTACAGACGAGTGGTCTTTTGCATTTAGTTGTGCATTTTGTTTTACTGGTTAAAAGGTAACCAGTTGACTTTCTCTCCACTGCAGTTGTCTGAGCTTCACTTGACATCTGTGTCCTACTCTATTCACTCTAATACATGATAGGGGGAGTCAGATTATTTTCTTTTTCTGCTTATATGCATTAACAACATGCCTACTTAAACTGCAGTTTCCATTCCTGTTTTACTGGAAAATCAGCTGGCCTGCATTAGTTAAACCACTTGTTTAACTAATTGATTGTACCAAGGTAACTTGATTGTGCCAAGGACAGCTCTGGGTCCGAAAGAGCAGATAGCACTTATGACAAAAGGGCAAAAATATCTTCAGAATATTTTTCATCTGTGACTGCCAGTTTTTTCCCACTCTGTAGTTTAGCGTTACCTTTAGGGAAGGAATAATTTGAATGGAGGAGCAGTTTGGAGGGGAGTAAACAAGATGCTCAGATCATAGCCATTGTAAAGTTGTTTTTACCTTAACAACCTGTCTCCTATTTGCTAAAGTGTCATGATGATTTTTAAACTCAAGTAATGAAAAATACTGATCAGAACATTTTTATTCTCAAGCATTCACAAAATAATGGATTGTGCTCCCAGAATATTAGCTTTAAATATCATAGGTTTTAAAAAACTATGTAGTGAAGTGATGCATCCAAGATTTTTTTCTTTTACTGGAGAAACCTACTGACTGTGATTCTTTATATAAATCATGTTAGAAAAATTAGCTTTCTTTTTTTTTTTAAGCTGTGTTGTTATGCAAGTAGTAGGAATTAAGATAAAACTGCAAAATGCAACAAAAGTAAACCAAGAATCATTACATCCATCCACTAGCAATAGCAAGGTAGGAGGAGTTAAATGAGAGGCCTTGTTATCTTCCCAGCTGTGGCTGAGGGGCTAGTAAGAAATTGGCTGGCATAAAACTTTGCAGCTGAAATTGGAAAGGGGCAGTAAATCAAGAGGCTGCTGCCTAGGAAAGGGTTAGAGACACTGCAAAAAGAGCAGTACTACAAGGAAGCTTGCCCTGTGAAAATTGAGGAGGCTGAAGCCGATAGGGAAGATATTCTTTCTTCTTATTATGTGCCTTGTGGTTGAAATTCTGAAAGACAGGTGAGCATTACCTTACTCTAAGAATAAGGGTAAAAATGTCAGGATTTATTGAGGCTTGGACTAAGGAAAACTCAAAAACTAGATCTACTGCTGAGTTTGCATGAGCCTCCAGGTTGTTAATCCAGGAACTGGGATTAATGATAATGAAAGCACTACTGTAATTACAACAGGGAGGTATCACAAGTTGAAGCCCTGCAATGGCATCTTCAGAGGATACTCAGAAGTCTTCTTTGGCCTTATAGGTTCAGCTGAAAGCCAGGTATGAGGCTGGAAGACTCATGCAAAAGCAGTGGAGGGGAAAGACTAGAGTTAGTCTTTTCTAGTTTATGTAAAATTATTGTAGTAATCTTACTTTTCTTATCTTAAATGACTTAGATTGTAATTTTATTGGTTCGTGTCATGCAGGTTTGAAATCTGCAAAGCTGAGGTTAAAATAAAAAACATGTCAGTACAACAGTAGTTTTGATTTTTCATAGAGAACTTAATTCAGTCTTTCTTATTGTACATCCAACTTCAATCCCTTTTCCTTCTGTCTAGGCCATGTGTTTATACGATGGGATCACCAATAAACAACAGAGCCCTTTTTCCATGCCAAGAGCCACCCATTGCCTTGTCAACATGGCAAGCCTCTGTCCGAGCAGCTGCAGGCTTTGTGGTGTTAATGAGTGGGGAAAACACAGCAGAACCAGTCCAGCTTCCAGAAGGTGAAATATATTCTTTATAGCAAATTATTTTCTATGCTTTTATAATTAGATATAAAGCTTAGTAAATGCATGGTTTTTGAAAGAATGAAGTTCCTAACCTTAAAAGCACTTCCCTGTCTCTTTGCAATCTCCACGTCACTCTATGGAAAAGTTACCTGCTCAAGGACTTAGGACAACTTAATAAGAATTGAAAGCATCAACATTTCACTGTGTTGCTTTTTACTTTTTTTTAACTCTGTGTTTCCAAAGCTAGATTTCACTTTTCATAAACTGGCTTTGTTTTAATCACTTTGTAGTTGAATGTTTCATAGATGAAGTACCTTATCAGGCTCTCAACAACTTCAGGCCTTGGTAGATAATTCTCTCTCCGTTGTAGTTCTCAGGCAGAGTGTAGTTCAGCATGCCAGTGATTACAAGCAGTCGTTGTGTCATATCTGTTTCCTGAAATACATGGAATAGATGAGAGATGAGGAATATCAGGTCAGTGCCCTGAAAATCTGAACTCTGGGTGTTTTTTTTTTTTTTTTGCATTGATAGAACATACCTTTTGCAATAGTAAGCAGACAGGAATTTCTTCTGTGTTGGTTAAACTTTATTTTCTAAACTGTCTGCACAGAGAAGGAAGTTTTTAAGGGAGTTCTACACCTAATAAAGTATATCCTGCTCCCATTAGTTTTGATATATCATGTCAAACTGGTTCAGTATTTTCTAGTGTAAGTAGTTCCGATTAAAAAGTACCATATAGGAAAGGGTTAGAAATAAGTATTTCTGGGGGAAAGAATCTTCTATTCCCCTTTATATAGGCAAGTTTATTCTTGGGGGAAAAAAAAAGAATGAAAATCTCCTTGATTTGAGAACCATCAGTTAATCTGTTTGCATGGAATTGTCTCGTTATGTTTGGCCATGTATGAATCCTCTTTCAAGGCTTGTCTCTGCTGTTAAAATATGGAAAACTGCCATGATGAGCTGCTCAGCTCACTTGGAGATTAATACTTTCCTGTCTCAGCATTAGCTCTTACTTTGTGTGTCAGATGCTGTGTAGGGTTACCTCTCCTTTTCCCTAGAGGTAGCTGAGCTTCATGGTTGCAGTACGCTGTGAACATCATCTGTATTTTGTGGTGTTTGTGTTAGTGCAAACTATTTCAGGGAAAACATACTGATAAGTACAAATATTCACAATGGTTTTGCATCTGGCATCAACAGATACTAACTCGGGCATTTTTTACAGTTATAATGAACTCTATAGGACTCGAACAATTTTAATGATTTCAGAGATAACTAAATGCATTAAAAATTCTAGGAAGGAATTACATCATTCATCATTATTATTTCAAGTAGAAGAAATAAACGGCCTTTAAATTGTTGTTTTGTGCAATTACAAATAGATTAAAATCTCCTGCTCTTGTTAAACGTTTGCATGGAAGGTTTTTCAGTTATAACCCATAGAACAGGTGATTGTTGCTGCATGGTTTTTACAGTTATGGCATGATAGATTTGCTCTGCAGAACTGAAAAAAAAAATATTTTCACAATTTCCTGTGGAGAAAAGAACAAAATATTTTGGAAGTATTATAATTGCCTAAAATAATTATGTGTAGAATTCAAGTTCTTTTAAAATACCATTACAAATAGCAGGACTGAGGTGATCTTCCTCTATTTTTCCCATGGACTAACCCTAGCGTAATATCTTGTTCTTCCCAAGGTGTTCTTGCTTAGTCTGCAGATGTTGTTATGGTACAAAATGCTGTGTTTGGTAAAGAAAGCCGCCTCCCTGCTCCCGCTGCGCTGTATTCTGTTATCCTAGAGGTGGTGCTGTCTCCAAGGTAGACGCTGAAAAGCACAGGGCAAACGCGGGGAGGGGAAAAGGAGTCGAGTGGAGCTGTGATCCCGATCTATGTCCTGGGATAACTCATGTGATACAGATGAAGGAAGACAAAACAAAGCCCACTGACGTGAAGAAAATGTAAGGAAGGAAGTGAAATTATGGGAGAGAAGGTCGGGCTGGGAGACCGTCTTACCAGTAGTGAGAGGAGAAGACAAAATAAAAGTTAGTTAGGCTCCCTTTGAAACAGTTCTTCATGGTTCTGTCTGCAGGGAAGCATTGCCAGCATAAAGACCGTCTCAGTCACTGATCAGCCAATGCACCATTTTCCAACCTGAATGATTCTGTGGTTCTATAGAGAGAACTCACTTGTCATGCCTGTGTATGTGATTTTTGTTGTTCAAGACAGAACAACTGTAGGATGAGTATACAGTTATCCTACACAGTTCTACACTATGAATGCAGAAGGCATCTAAAATCCCTGCAGGAAATGGATTGAGCTCTGGTTAGGTGTGTAGAGACAATGGAAATCTTGGATCTTATTCTGGGAGGATCCATAGTTCCCATGATTTCTATAATGCTTGCAAAATAGGATGGGCTTTGGTACCTTTGCTCTTTTGCATGGTTTGCTCTAAATAGCATACGTTCATTGCTACTCTGTGTAAATCTCTGAATGGTGCACGTGCTGCTCTCTCTGCACTGCTGAACTGATTGCCATTCATTTTGACATTCTGTTCAAACTACTTGTTTGTTTTTTTTTTTGAAAAAAAGCCTCTTTGGTCTTGCTTGCTCTAGCCTGTCTTACTAAACTTGTTTCTCACTGTAACCCTCTCTAATCTCTGTTTGCCTAGCACAGGCCAACACCATTTGCTTCTAGACAATCTCTTCATATTTGTGAGAGCCTTCTCCTTTGCACCTCGTGCTGTTTGGAACAGTTTTCTGTGACTGCTTTTTGACTTCTGTGCTTTTTTCATAACAGTTGAAAACATGTGATGGTTTTTCCATCACAATTCCTCAAATTTTCACTCTTCCCCTGCTGTTATTTAATTCTTAAGATTTTACCATTAGCATAACTACATGGAGCCTTTTGGAATGCTCTGTGTGTGACAGGTGCAATGCTAAGTGCAGCACCTCTGAGCCTTGCCTTGTGCACATGTCAGTCAGTGGTAAAGCTGCTGCTGACTGCAGTGTGTGCCGGCTTGGGCCTCTAGCACAGTTTCTATCAATGAAACTCTGTACATCAGGCGTTTGGTATCTTGAAATAATATATTGTTGCAGTCTTGAGTGACCTTTTTCTCTCAAGGTGGTACTTGCTTGTCTTGGCTCATTTGTAGCTTTGTTAAGTTAATAATAATAAAAAAAAAGGTGAGGTGAAATTTGGCAAACAGTTATCCTCTTTGTTCTTCATGTGTTGGAGCAAAGAAGTTCATTCTGCTTACATACTGACGGGAGGTTAGGAAAATTAGAGGAGTAATATACGTTCACCTGACAATACAAAAGGGTTTTGATGTTGAATGTTGCCAGAAGTGGAATGGGGTGAGGGAGTATAAGTGCATATAAAGAGACAAAGGCTTTATCTGCCTCTCAGAAGACTTCACAAACAGTATTGTTTTTTCATACTAAATAGCAGGTGAAAAATTTATTGAGGCTAAACCCAAAGATGTTTTTGCTTGTCCTTGCTTTGGACAGCTTGACCTTCTGTGGTCATTAAGGTAGGAAATGAAGAGATGTTTTGCAGCAGTTCTTTATTTCCTTTCCTTTATGCCTTGGTGATATCCACTCGGTTGTGGATTTTTCCTTTTTAAATTTTTGGTAGTGTTCCATAGCCGTAGTCAGAATAGTATTGCAAAAGAACAAGTATTAATGTTCTCTTAAAATAAATGAAGTTTGTGTGTTTCCACAGTTGCCCCAGCTACAGTTGTTTGCACATGATTCATCAGGTTGTAACTCATGTTAGGCTCTTTCCAAGAGAATTAATCTATTAGTATGGTGTAGTGACTGTATTATGGGCATAAATGAATGTGTGGATGTGACCTTTAAGCTATATCCTTTTTAAAGGGGCAAACTGAAAGTCTAAGCAACATTTATATTAATGGAAAGTGTGCTGTTCTAAAATGTCCTCCAGTTTAACAAAATCTGTTTGTACATACAGTCATCCTGTACCATACTCTTTGTCTTCCCACACTGTGTTCCCATAATGATAAAGCATCTTTTTACCTTCTAATAGCTCTCATCTTGTTTTAGCACATTCTGAATATCATGAGCAAATTGTTGGCTTATGTAATATCCCATCTGAGTCCAAGCTTTGATTTCCTACTGCCTGGTTGACACATCACGTATCTCAGATTGCCAGGTCCAATTCACAAGCATTAGTGTTTTTTGTTATAATTTGGCTATCAGTTTGGTACTGTCCAGAACACAAAGAAAGGTTTTGTTCTGTGTGACATAATACAAACAAGGCAAAACCATAAGGTGGTAGGTCCAAGGCTGAAAGAATTAAATTTTAATATTTTGTGTATGTTTGTATTTAAAGGTGTTATTAGATTTCATGTCTGATGTAATTCTTGGGCAGTAACAGTACAATCGGGTTAAGTTGCATTAATAACATCCCACTTATGGATGATTTATTTACAGATACAGACATCAGCAGATAGAGCAAAGTTGGAGGTGCAAGTAAACAGTACTGAATTCGTGGTGGTTACATATGATTGTTCTTCTGTGTGTTGGTGACATTATTTTTCTTTCCTCAGAAATACCAGGTTTAAAGGTGGGAGGTTTGGCCCAAAATCTCAAGTACATAAAAATGTCAAGTACCTAATGTGTGCTGTGAGACTGATGACTGTACAAATGTTCTTTTTATTTACAGATATCTTGAGCTGGTACTACTATGTGTCTATGCCAATGCCAGCATCCACCTTCACCATTGCTGTGGGGTGCTGGCAGGAAGTTAAGCAGCAGTCCTTCACAGATGCTATTCCAACAAACACTGAGTTTTCATTGCCATCTGTACAAGCTGATTTCAGGTTGGTGTTTATAATATTGTTGAAAAATGAGATATATGGGTAGAATTTCCATTTACTCTCTGGAATATGAAAATGAGTCATATTAGTACATGAATCAAAATAGAACTTGTTTAATCTGAACAGAAAAACCTTGACAGGAAGATAATTCCAAAGGCATTATTTCATGGGTGTGGGTGTGGTTCTTTTTATGTGACAACAAGCCGCTTGGTGAGCAATAGGGTTCATAAATCCCACTATCCTCAGGATTTGTATCCTACATCCTGTGTTGCTGCAGCAATGCCAGTTCCTGTCTTGTTTCTTACAATGTCTATCTCTAAGATCTTTCATGTAACTGGACTCAGTCCATTCTGGATACCTAATGCCCCCTGCTAGAATATTGTCTGCTCACAATTCCCCTCCTCTCATTTGACCTCCTTTAGACCCTCTTGTGTCTTCCTTGAGTTGTGAAGACCAGAATGAGACGTGATAGTCCAGGTACTGCCTGAGCAGCTCTGAACAGAGGGGGTGGTTGTGTCTGTCTCTCTGCCAGCAGTGCCAGTGTAGCTGTGGGATCCGATTTTCCTTGGTGGCTGCAGTGTCACACCACTGACTCATGTTCAGCTGACTGTCCCCCAGGAACCCCCATGTCCTGTTCAGCAGGGCTGCTCCCCAGGCACAGTCCCAGCCTGTGCTGGGCTCTGGGCTTGTGTCACCCCAGGTCAGGACTTGGCACTTGTCTGTGTTGCTCCTCTCACTGTTCCTGCCAGCCCTGTTCCTCCTGCCTGTCTGTTCCCTGTAGGACAGCTCTCCCTCTATGTGTCCCTCTAACCACCCAGCTGGGTCTCATCAGCACACCTGGAGGCAGTGTTTCCAATCCCACCCTGCAGGGTATTTGTGAAGGTGATGAACAGTGTGAGGCCCAACATGATTTCCTAAGGAGCTCCACCTGTGCCAGGCTGCCTGCCGGAGTGAGAACCATCCATCATCAGTCTGAGTGCAGCCTGGGGTCGGTTCTGTGCTCATCCTGCAGACCACCAGCTAGGCTGTCTCCTGCCAGTTTGTCCAGCTGTGGGAAACTCTAATCAATATTTTGCAAAAATCTAGGCAAACGACTGCCAGTGCTCTCTCCCCTTGTCAACAGAAATTGCTATTTTGTTGTAGAAGGTGATTAGGTTAGTCAGGTCATAAGTATTTGAAACTTTGCCAAAAAAAGCCTTGCCTTTTAGATAGCTGTTTTGGGCTAATGCTGTGTTAACATTAAGACGGTGGAAGTCCTTCTGGTTTTGGTAAAGCTAGTGAGACTTTGGAACATGAGAACGTAATAGGGTTATTTTTTTTGAATTCGAAATTAAAGGATTCTGATGGCTTGCATCCTGGCTAATTTTGGTTAAAAATTTTGTTATTAGTGTTGACAATAGAAATTTTTATAATTTACCTGGGATCAGTAAGACATGCCTATGCAAATTTTAAAATAGTTTATAGGTTTGATAAGCCTCTAGAAATTGTTTTGTGTTTATTCCTTTGCCATTTTTATGTTTATAATATGACTGCCTCTGCTGAAGTAAGCTGTAGAACTTCACTATAGTATTCCTCTCTACTGTACAGCACATTTGGTAATAGGAATTTTTATTGATTTGGTGCAAAAGATTATTTTGACACAGTGTTGCTACCTTTTGTAAAACTTCTGAAACAGAGGAAATATTTTTGTAACTTTTTGTCAGTGCAAGTTTTAATCCATGCGATGGTCATTGTTATGAGTTGATCTGTGTAATGGTTACTGGATGAGTTAACTGACACAGTGTGATATATCTGCAGCAGTTGAGTTGGTGACAGTGGAAGAAACAGAGGTAATGTGTCTTGAGGGGGGGAAAGATCAAAAAAATCCCCAAATCCTCTGCAGCAGGGTGTCTATTGCATAGACAAAAAAGGAAACCCTAAGTGTTTTGCAGCTAATTAGGACATAAAAACTTATGTCCTTAAAAATATGCTTTTACAGTTATATCCAGTTGATCTTTATTTAGGGTTAGCACAACAGAGATTGTTACTTATTTTAGTCTCTGAGACCAGGTTACCAAACTGACATTATGCACAGTAGCAGACATTTCTAGAAAGGCTGTGAAATGGATAGAGAAGCAAATGTTAAGCCTATGCCTCTGATAAGGTAATGGAGATAAACTCTGGGCATCAGGAAAAGGAAGGAGTTCTGAAAGAAGCTGTTGAAACGTGTAATGTAATTTTTATCCAGGTGCCAGTGAGTTTGGCTTAAGGAGACTGTATCAAAGTAAATGTTAAATGGAACTATGGTGTTTTTAACTTTATCTTCTCGTGGTCGTTTAAGTACTTGGCAATTTTTACAAGAGAGGGGGTGCTGGCTTTCGTGTTCCTGCCTAATCTTAACTCTGATAATAAAATACAAAGTGACATTGTTTTAGAGCAGAAATATACTGGATTAGACCGTGCTTAGAAAAAAAAAAAGTGTACTGATGGATGTGGTTTCTTTACATACATGATCAATGAAAGAACTTTGAGTCCACATCTTTGACAGAAAGACTTACGTAAGGTGCTAAAGTGTTGACACTGCAGCAAAATCTTGTCCTTTTCTAGATATTATCATTTTGTTTTCTGTGCCAGCACTTAGCTTCAGCATGATTTTCCAAGTATAAATGCTTTGGGCAATGCTAGGTGCCTGTCCAGGCATAGTAGAACCAGGTTCTTTAAATTCAAATTTCAAACCAAAGAGAAGCTCTCCACTGTACAGAAGACAGGCTAACAGGTGAAAACATGAAGTTGATTTCTGTTTAGATATGAGTCTATTTGGGCAGATAACTTATTATGAAGGTATATGACTCAGTGTTGAGGAAGGATTTGATTTACCCCTCTTTTCTTCCAGCTACAGCTCTGAATATCCTGCAAAAGTAACATAAAGTAAGGCTGAGTCTGATGTGGCATTATTGAATGTCTATGGTGATAATCCTGAGTTGCTATCTACTGCTGTTCTTTACTTAAGAAGAAAAAAAGAATCACTAAAAGTGAGAGAATTTAGTAACAGCAACAGAAAAAAATCCCTCATGGAATTTCATTCTAATTGCACATGTTTGTGTTAATGTATGTTAACATGTATGGGATTTTATTTTTGTAGTCAAATTTCAATAGGAATTTTCTGAATAAATGCTTTTTATTGTTATTAGTTCTCTTTACATATATTTTGAGCATTTATTCTTTTGATGCATATCTGTTATAACAACAAGACGTGACTACTATTTTTTTAGTTATGAGTAACGATTATCAGTTCTACTCATGTACTAATGAGTGTTTTCACAGTGTGTGAACAGTGTGAGAATACAAGTGAGCTGCTTTTATGGAAATTCATTCTGTCTTTCTGATGTCTGGAGAACATCCCTGTCGTAGCATAGTCAGTCGTGCACATTTCTGATCTCACATTAAACTGTTGGTTTGTTTTGTTGTTGTCAGCTGGCATGAAGCAATGTGTGGCCATGTGGGATATCCCTGCCGTTTCCAGAACCCTGCAGTGAGCTGGCAGGCAGTCATTCCTCACAGAGTCTTCTCTCCCTGCTGCCTCATGGAGCTCTGCGAGGAACGTTTGCTCCCGCTCATCCCTCAGTGCCTCTCGGCTGCTTTCTCCACGCTGGGTACCCACCCCTTCTCCAGGCTTGATGTTTTGATAGTTCCTTCTAACTTCTCCAGCCTGGGAATGGCCAGGTAAAGAAACTTCTTAGTATCTCATCTCCTGTGTTTTGTTTGACTTCTTTTAACTGCGTCAAATTGCTGTCAATATAAAGTTGCTGCACTGTTTTTCTTAAATCAAACTTAAAACTTTGTTCTGACTTTGTGTGAGTAGGTTTGTTTGCATCCTTTGTGATCTTTATTTTAGTTTTAACGAGACTTCCTTTAGGGAAGGAAAATATAAGCTTATTAGCCGTGTGGGTCTGAATTTCCTCATTTGCGAAACTGAAGTTGTTTTATTGGTTTTGTTGATTTAAGTACTTGATGCTGCACTCATTTTGTCTTGTTTTCTTTTGGCATTGGTGTTACCATTATGTTTTGATAGAACAAGGGCATGTTAAAGTCTAGATCTAGAGTTTCCTCATAAGCCTGTCGTGATTTATGAGTTTCTGCTCAAACACTGGTCTTCAGAAGCTGAGTAAGGCAGATTGTAAGGATCATATTATCAAGTTTTCATGGAATTGTAAAAAATAAAAAATTTAAATACTTTTGGTTTTGCAGTATAATTTCCAGTGATGCAAGGACAATAGAATTTTAGCTCTATTAGTTGTAAGACAATGCCTAGCAATTGAAATTCCCCATTCACTTTTAATTTTTCTTAAAAAAAAAAATATTTCAGTTGGTAGTGAGAAACTTTTTGTTAATAGCAGAGATCAAAACACTGTTTTTATTCACTAGTGCCAACAGTAGAGTGGATTCATGTAGGCAGATGTACAAAACATCCAAGAAAAGAATTAAAGGTAAAGCTCTGTTAGAAAATAATGACTGAAAGGAAAGCTGTATTCCCAGACTGTATAGTTTATATTGTGGAGCTCCTGAGGCAGTTGTCAAATAGGTTTGATATCTGAAGCAATTTTAATAAAATGCTTTCATTGTAACTTCAGATATGTAGGTGAACCGGAATTATAGAACCATAGAATGGTTTGGGTTGGAAGAGACACAATCATCTGGTTCCATCCCCTCTGCCCCATGGGCACAGACACTGAGACTGGGTTGCTCAGAGCCCCATCCAGCCTGGTCTTGAACTCATGCAGGGATGAGGCAGCCACAGCTTTTGGGTTAAAAGTAGAAAATTATGCTGGCACATAACAATATTGTGTAGTTCTTAGTATAAGTTTACTTGCCTTTTTTTTTTTTCTGAAGATTTAGAAAATTTAAAACTTAAACAGTCAGTCACCCTCCTCTGTCATATAAGCCTCGTTGCTTTGTAGATACTTTTTACTGGTTACTGGTTTTACTGGTTACTGAGCTTTCAATGATACTTCTTCACTGAAAGAATCAAGTTGCTTTGGGCCCCTGCCAGATTATATTCTGTGGTGCTTTGCATAGTGGTTTGATTTGGAGTGAAGTGTGATGTTCTTGAAGCCGTACAAAGTTTGCAGAGCTGCTTAGCAATTTTCTCTGACTTCAAAGGTGTGGTACTAAAGGGTTGACACAAGTCCTTATGGATCATTGCTGTTATTAAGAAACAGGCCATTTTACTTAGCTTGTGATAAGAACAGTGATCTGGGGAACCATGAAGGGCAAGACACACAAACAGTAAAAAATGAATGAGAAAGCAGAGAGCAATGTCTGGCCAAAATCACAGCACGCAGTAGGAGAAATCTTCAGGATTCAGTTGTTGATATGCTACTGCTCTTTGGGAAATTGCCAGTGCTTTCCCTGCATGTTTCCCACAATTTTTAGGGAAAAGATGCCTGCAGGTTTCTGTTGCAAAACCATTTGTGATTACTTGAGTCCAGACCTCGTGGTCAAAATACTGTAATTGTGCTTTCTTTGTGAAGAAGGTGAGAAAAACCCATGCTTTCATTCCCCTGTGCTGCTTCTAACCACTGTCAGTTTCAAGTGATACATATAATTGAATATAAGTAGAGGATGAAAGAATGGGTGTGCATACTTCCTGATGCTTTTCATTCAACAATTCCTCAAGCCAAACACATTCAAATTTTTCAAAATTTAAACAATTTAAGAAATAATTTGAGCTGTTTAATTATCAAGCTCTATTTGGGCAGGAGATTATTAAGTGACTCATAATAGCTTGTTTGTTCTTGTTTTGTGTGATTTTTCAAATAGAGGCTTCTATGTATGTAGCAAGCTGCTTAAATGCTTAATTCCTGTGCATACAATGAAAATTACCTAAATTACTTCAGTTAACAATAAGCTATGTGCAAAACTGTGTCCAAACCCACATAAAGAAAAAAAGTTAGTTATTACCTTGGGTTAAAAAGGATGCTTTTTAATAGTATTTATTTTTTTATCTTCTAGTCTATCTGTAGCAGTATAAACATAACATAGTATGCCAGCACATAGGAGGTACTGTTATGAGAATTCTAATTGTACTCCTGCCTACCAGTGAAGGAAGTCATAAATTTTAGCCATTATCTGAAGTATCAGGGCTTGACAGCATTTGGCATTTTTCTTTGTCTGTTCCTCATCAGGTGATACTTACTGTGGTTTTCATATCCCCAAATACTTCCTTTTATTTGGGAGGGATGTTCCCCAGCATTTTAGATTGGGGTGAAATTCATGATAGTTCTTGCATGGAGTGACCTAATTAGGCATTTTAAGCTGTCTGTTTTAGTGGCAGCTACTCTGGGTCAGCTGCATTTCTCTTGGAGTCTGATAGATGCTTTATGAGAAAAACTAGTTGAAAGCATATTCATTTCACCTGTGTTTTCTCTACACATTTTCCTCTTTCTCTAATTGGCTGTGGACTTCTGTATGGAAACGGGATCTTGCCTGTGTATAATAATTGCGGCCATCCCCTCTTGCTTCCTGCAGATCTTTGAAGCTGGAGGATTTAGTTTTGTACTCTCTCTTGGTTATATATGGTTTCAGTTCCAGTGATTCAGTATACCTGCTCCTAAATTCATGCTAGTAAAAGAAGGATATGGTCTCTATGTCTTTGTTGATGATATTACATTGAACTGTACATAAATTAAATTAATAAAGCATTGCAGACCATATTTAAGTAGTTTAAAAACCAGAGATTCAATGCTTTCTATAGAATGTTGAGAATCTCATGAACACCTAAGAGTACTTAATTGTCTGATTTTTAAGTTCTTTCACTAGCAGAAGAGAGTGAAGTTGAGTAGAAGGAGTAGGGAAGTGTGTCAGACTGCAAGCCCAAGAGCTCCTAATTAGATTTTTCAAGGAAGAAATCCCTGACCACATGCTACACTGAAAGGTGCACATCATTCATGTACTTGGAGAACTAAGAGGTTAGAATCAGGAGATTAAAAGTAGCACTATGTTTTGATGCTGTTGATGGTACTCTACTCCCTTAGGAATTGGCAACCCCATTGGCATTTAAATATAGGAGGTATTTCACTGTTGCAAATGCTCTCCTGAACAAGCAGTTCCTGTGAACAAAGCTGAATTACTGATTTCAGATTAAAAATAGGGTCTCTACCTTGGTTATTTGTGCTCTTCAAATCAGTTCATTCCCAGTCTGGATTTTTGGATCACATTTGCAAACCCACTGTTCCAAAGTCTCTTCCCACAGACCTACAGCTCAATTTCCTTTCCTTTTGTCAAAACCTGAAGAGACTGAATGCCTTGTCCTTTTTCATTTCCTGAGGAAAAATATTCTTTCAAATGCAGAAGCTCTGACTTCTGGTGCCACGTGAGCCTGTGCTTGAGACCTTGACTTCCCTGTCAGTGTTTAATTGCGTAAGTCCTTTCACAGTCACACCAATCTCTTGTGTTTCGGTGGTGTTAGAAACTGCTTAGCAGCCTTCTACTTCTTACAGAGCAAATATGCTGATGTTTATTTTACTCCCCTGGGGGTTGTAAGCCTTTGTTTGCATTCAGCTGAAGTACTCTTTTTGAAACAATGGTCTTCAAAGTCTTTTGTTCCGCACACATTGTTTAAATAACATAAGATTACTGCTCTTTCTGTTTGAATTAATGTATTTCAGATGTACTAGTTTTGTAGTAAGTTCTAGCACAAGGAAAAATTCTTAGCCAAGTACTGTGTATAAATAACTTGACTAGCCACATCACATGTTGCTGGGATCTAGAAGAATGTGATGAGAAAAAAATCCCATGGTCTTAGTTTTTCCTTGAACACTCAGTAATGACTGTGGTATAGGTGGACTTCTGGTCTTACCTAGTTTATCTGTTCTTGAAGGCAAGTATGCCCAGCAGAGCTAGTAAGTTAAATGGAACCAACGAATTTCTGATCAAGATACTGACATTGTCAAAGTAGGAACCTAATGTTAGGTCATTTGAATTCTATTTAGGCTCTAAAATCAGTGGCCTCATTTTCAACTGTGCTGGACACTCCTGAAACCCAGATGATGTTTGGTGACGGAAACATAGAGGATGCTTGGAATATTTGTAAATCAGGTCAACTAGCTGGCTAAATATGGGTGTAGCAACCCAGCTTTCAATTCGTATTTATAAAGATCTTATTCACTCTTCTACTCTCATGTAAAAAAGTGGTCTTTGGTATTTAAGAGGAAAGAATACCCCTTTCTTCCGAGCACGGTGTATCAGCAGAACTCTTGAGTGTTTCCAGTCCCTGTCACTAAGATTGTTAACTTTCTAAATTGAAAGGGAGGAAGGCTCAAGCAGCCTCTTTGATCTGTGCCTCTGTGACCACGATTTGTCTGTTCTGTTGTCTGCAGAGTTACAGTGACTGCTGATAAGTGCAGAGAAAATCAATATTGGAAAACATTCAAGGGTCAAACTTAAGTGTAAAACCTTTAGTACTGTTCAGTCTTGCAGAACTGTGTTTGACTCTTTCACTCAACTGTACAAGTCTTTTGTGAGTCTGTACAGTAGCGAACACTTTTTTGCACAACATTTTCTGACTCTTGGCTGAAGCCTGAAGTGTAATTTGCTACCACTGCAATCACAGTCCTTCATCCAGTTGTCATTTTACTACCAAAACAGGTTTTGCAGTACTTTGGGCATAATATATTTCCTTATTAATGTACTGAGCTGCCTTATTGGTCTATTAACATTATTCT